GACCATCTTGGTCAACATGGTGAGACCCGTCTCTACTAAAAATACAAAAAATTAGCTGGGCATGGTGGCACATGCCTGTATTCCCAGCTACTCAGGAGGCTGGGGCAGGAGAATTGCCTGAACCCAGGAGGCGGAGGTTGCGGTGAGCCAAGATCGCGCCATTGCACTCCAGCCTGGGTCACAAGAGAGAAACTCCATCTCAAAAAAAAAAAAACTAGGGAGTTAGCCGAGTTCCAGAGGAGCAGAGTTCTAAGGTGGTTTGGTCTGTACAGCAGTGTCTCAGCTTAGCCAATGTTCTGTTTCCCTAACACGGAGATTATGACATCAGACCATTTCTAGGCTGCACAGCTGCTTGGCTTAGCCAAGGCACTAACTAACCAGGATGTGATGTGTTCATTCAGCTCAAACCCAGGAGGCAAGACTGTTCTGGGTGGCCAAGCCACTTTTTTCCCAAGATGCAAGGCACTTCTGCAGCTAAAGTGCAGGGGATCATAGCATCTTCAGCTGTGCTCAATGTCAGTGATGACTGTGAATGCCTCTGTGGCCTAGGCTGTATGACTTTGTGGCAGCAGCAGGGTGAGTTTTCTGAGTCCTAGATGGCAAAGGTTTTTAGGGTCTTCCTATTCTCAATTTCCCTCCCTCTAACAAGACTAAGCCAAAGGGCTCCCTCTGGTTTTGAGTCTAACACTGCCATAAGCAGCTGTAGTCTCTCTGGGTTTTAGAGTATGAGTGCTAGAGTGGCTGTGGAGCCAGGGACCTAGGCTCAGAGTCTTGTGGCACCTGGGTTTTGGAGTGCAGGTTAACTCTATGAGTCACAAGTGGATGTAGATTGCCCACAGAACTCAGGTGTCTGTGACTCCGAGGGACTCCTCAGTAGCATGGGCCTAGAAAACCAGGTGATAGCTATGGCTCTAATCAGGGAGGTGGGGTAACAGCTTATAGCATTGTTCCAGCTTTGGATTCAAAAGAGTGCCCTGGAGGTTTAGGCTCAGGGAGCAGGGGACAGCTGCAATTTGGCAACCAGAGCTGATAGGGGAAAGTGGCAAATCAGGCCTGTGGCAATGAGACATCATGTCATGGTGACTCTGAACCCTGGAATGGTGGAATACATCAGTATCCTAGACTGTGAGGTGAACTAGAGTGGAAGAAAGACCCCAGGTTGGTGGACTACAGCTGTTTCTTGGGACCTAGAGGGTAAAGAGCAGCACAGTGATTTCTTTGGTTCTTGAAGGAAAATATTGCAGTGGTTTAGAAACTAGGGAGTTAGCCGAGTTCTGGAAGAGCAGAGCTCTAAGGTTGTTTGGTCTGTACAGCAGTGTCTCAGCTCAGCCAGTGTTCTGTTTCCCTAACATGGAGATTATGACATCAGACCATCTCTAGGCTGCATAGCTGCTTGGCTAAGCCAAGGCATTGACTAACCAGGAGGTGATGTGTTGATTCAGCTCAAACCCAGGGGACAAGACTGTTCTGGGTGGCCAAGCCACTTTTTTCCCAAGATGCAAGGCACTTCTGCAGCTACAGTGCAGGGGATCATAGCATCTTCAGCTGTGCTCCATGTCAGTGATGACTGTGAATGCCTCTGTGGTCTAGGCTGTATGACTTTGTGGCAGCAGCAGGGTGAGTTTTCTGAGTCCTAGATGGCAAAGGTTTTTAGGGTCTTCCTATTCTCAATTTCCCTCCCTCTAACAAGACTAAGCCAAAGGGCTCCCTCTGGTTTTGAGTCTAACACTGCCATAAGCAGCTGTAGTCGCTCTGGGTTTTAAAGTATGAGTGCTAGAGTGGCTGTGGAGCCAGGGACCTAGGCTCAGAGTCTTGTGGCACCTGGGTTTTGGAGTTCAGGTTAACTCTGAGTCACAAGTGGATGTAGATTGCCCACAGAACTCAGGTGTCTGTGACTCTGAGGGACCCCTCAGCAGGCTGGGCCTAGAAAACCAGGTGATAGCTATGACTCTCATCAGGGAGGCGGGGTAACAGCTTATAGCATTGTTCCAGCTTTGGATTCAAAAGAGTGCTCTGGAGGTTTAGGCTCAGGGAGCAGGGGACAACTGCAATTTGGCAACCAGAGCTGATAGGGGACAGTGGCAAATCAGGCCTCTGGCAATGAGACATGATGTCATGGTGACTCTGAACCCTGGAATGGTGAAATACATCAGTATCCTAGACTCTGTGAGGCCAACTAGAGTGGAAGAAAGACCGCAGGATGGTGGACTACAGCTGGTTCTTGGGACCTAGAGCGTAAGGAGCAGCACAGTGATTTCTTTGGTTCTTCAAGGGAGATATTGCAGCTGTTTAGAAACTATGGTGTTAGTCCAGGCGCAGTGGCTCAAGCCTGTAGTCCCAGCACTTTGGGAGGGCCTGGCCGGTGGATCATGACATCTAGAGCTCGAGACCATCTTGGTCAACATGGTGAGACCCCGTCTCTACTAAAAATACAAAAAATTAGCTGGGCATGGTGGCGCGTGCCTGTAATCCTAGCTACTTGGGAGGCTGGGGCAGGAGAATTGCCTGAACCCAGGAGGCGGAGGTTGCAGTGAGCCGAGATCGTGCCATTGCACTCCAGCCTGGGTCACAAGAGCGAAACTCCGTCTCAAAAAAAAAAAAAAAAAACTAGGGAGTTAGCCCAGTTCTAGAGGAGCAGTGTTCTAAGGTGGTTTGGTCTGTACAGCAGTGTCTCAGCTTAGCCAATGTTCTGTTTCCCTAACACGGAGATTATGACATCAGACCATCTCTAGGCTGCACAGCTGCTTGGCTTAGCCAAGGCACTAACTAACCAGGATGTGATGTGTTCATTCAGCTCAAACCCAGGGGACAAGACTGTTTTGGGTGGCCAAGCCACTTTTTTCCCAAGATGCAAGGCACTTCTGCAGCTAAAGTGCAGGGGATCATAGCATCTTCAGCTGTGCTCAATGTCAGTGATGACTGTGAATGCCTCTGTGGCCTAGGCTGTATGACTTTGTGGCAGCAGCAGGGTGAGTTTTCTGAGTCCTAGATGGCAAAGGTTTTTAGGGTCTTCCTATTCTCAATTTCCCTCCCTCTAACAAGACTAAGCCAAAGGGCTCCCTCTGGTTTTGAGTCTAACACTGCCATAAGCAGCTGTAGTCGCTCTGGGTTTTAAAGTATGAGTGCTAGAGTGGCTGTGGAGCCAGGGACCTAGGCTCAGAGTCTTGTGGCACCTGGGTTTTGGAGTTCAGGTTAACTCTGAGTCACAAGTGGATGTAGATTGCCCACAGAACTCATGTGTCTGTGACTCTGAGGCACCCCTCAGCAGCGTGGGCCTAGAAAACCAGGTGATAGCTATGACTCTTATCAGGGAGGCAGGGTAACAGCTTATAGCATTGTTCCAGCTTTGGATTAGAAAGAGTGCCCTGGAGGTTTAGGCTCAGGGAGCAGGGGACAGCTGCAATTTAGCAACCAGAGCTGATAGGGGAAAGTGGCAAATCAGGCCTGTCGCAATGAGACATCATGTCATGGTGACTCTGACCCCTGGAATCGTAGAATACATCAGTATCCTAGACTCTGTGAGGCCAACTAGAGTGGAAGAAAGACCCCAGGATGGTGGACTACAGCTGGTTCTTGGGACCTAGAGGGTAAGGAGCAGCACAGTGATTTCTTTGGTTCTTGAAGAGAGATATTGCAGCGGTTTAGAAACTAGGGTGTTAGTCCGGGTGCAGTGGCTCAAGCCTGTAATCCTAGCACTTTGGGAGGGCCTGGCCGGTGGATCATGACATCAAGAGCTCGAGACCATCTTGGTCAACATGGTGAGACCCGTCTCTACTAAAAATACAAAAAATTAGCTGGGCATGGTGGCACATGCCTGTAATTCTAGCTACTTGGGAGGCTGGGTCAGGAGAATTGCCTGAACCCAGGAGGCAGAGGTTGCGGTGAGCCGAGATCGCGCCATTGCACTCCAGCCTGGGTCACAAGAGCGAAACTGTCTCAAAAAAAAAAAAAAAAAAAAAAAAACTAGGAAATTAGAGTTCTAGAGGAGCAGAGTTCTAAGGTGGTTTGGTCTGTACAGCAGTGTCTCAGCTCAGCCAATGTTCTGTTTCCCTAACATGGAGATTATGACATCAGGCCATCTCTAGGCTGCACAGCTGCTTGGCTTAGCCAAGGCATTGACTAACCAGGAGGTGATGTGTTGATTCAGCTCAAACCCAGGGCACAAGAGTGTTCTGGGTGGACAAGCCACTTTTTTCCTAAGATGCAAGGCACTTCTGCAGCTAATGTGCAGGGGATCATGGCTCTTCTAGACGGCCAAGGCAGCATTTCCCAGGAGGCAGACTATAGCGTCAAATCACTCACTGGAGGAGCGTGACAGCTCTGAGTGGCCTAGGTACTGTTCTCCCAGGAGGCAGATTGCTGTTTCAGTTCAGCCACAAGGGTCAGGGTGTGGCAGTAAATGAGAGGAGTAGATGGAGTGACTCTGCCAAACCACCATTTTCCCTGGAGGCATTGCATGCTTCAGCCCTGGCCCTGAGGGGCAGGGGACAGCTGTAACCAGAAGAGGTAGATGTGGTGGCTCAATTGCAACTAGGCTTCATGGAAGAGGATGTAGCAGCAGGTTGCCTCATTGATGTTGGTCCACCAGGTAGGGGTGGTTGAGCTCTGGAATGAGAGGGTGCTGCGGCCACTCACCCCTAAAAAGGGACATCATCTAGCAGGAGTTCCAATTTCAAGAAAGCCTAGCACAGTAGCTGTGTTGACCGAAGCAGGTGGCGTATAGTGTTAGCTCCTTTTCAGGAGGAAGCACAGCTGTGAGTACTCGGTTGGGCTTACTGCCTGTGAGGTCACATTCTTGCATGAGGAAGTTCCCTCCTGGTTCTGGCTGCTCCTGGCTGGGGAATAGGGTGGTGGAGGCCAGGTGTTTACTTCTATTCTCTGTAGCCATCCTGGGTTTATATGCTTTGCAGAGTTTCTGCTACTCTTTTGATGTACTCAAGTACTTTCCTTTGCTTACTTTAATCAAATATAGTTGTTTATTATTTTGACTGTCTTTCTAGGGTGAGGAGACCAAAACTGAGGGCTTCTAGATGGCTGTCGTGCAAATGTTCCTCTTGAAGTATTTTGAATTTGGGTCATTCTAATAGGTGAGTAGTCAAGTCTCATTTTTATTTGGATTTTCAATTTCATAATGGCCTATGATATTGAACATGTTTTCGTATCCATGCCATCTGTGTATCTTTGATGAGATGTCCACTCAGATCTTTTCCCATTTTTAAATTGGGTTGTTTGCTTTCTTACTGTTTAATTTTAAGAATTCTTTGTATATTTTGGATAACTGTCCTTTATTAGGTCTGTATTTTGCAAGTATGTTCTCCCAGTCTCTTCCTTTTCTCATTCTCTCCATTTATTTCACAGAGCAAAAGCTTTTAATTTTTATTACCTTCAGCCTATCAATTGTCTTTCTTGTGTCATGGTTTTAATATTGTATCTTAAAAAGTCATTTCCCTACGCAACATCACCTGGATTTTCTCCTGTACTTTCTTTTAGGAGTTGTAGAGTTTTCCATTTTACTTTAGGTTTATGATATATTATGAGCTAATTATTGTGAACGGTGTGAAGGTCTGGATCTAGACCCATCCTTTATTTTTTTTGTTTGAATGTTCAATTGTCCCACCATTTGTTGAAATGACTATTGCATTGCTTTCGTTCCTTTGTCAATGATCAGTTGAATATATTGATATGGATGTACATTTGGGCTTTCTGTTCTGTCCGATTTATCTATTTGTCTGTTGTTTCACTAACACTTCACGGTCTTGATTAATAAAGATTTATACTAAATCTTGAAGTCAGGTAGGGTCAGTAATCCAACTTTATTTTCCTTCACTATTGAGTAGGCGATTCTGTTTTATTTATTTATTTATTGCCTTTCCATATGAACTTTGAGGTAAGTTTGTCAATATTCAGAAAATAACTTGAAGAGATTTTGGTGGTGGCAACTATATTGAATCTATAGACCCAGTTTGGAAATAAATGATATCTTGGCAATATTGAATATAACTAGTGAAAAACGTGAACTCACTCTCCATTTAGTTTTTGATGGCTTTCATTAGGGTTTTATATTATGCCTCATAAAGATTAAATACATCTCTTGTTAGATTTGTACCTAAGTATTTAATTCGGGGAATGGTAATGTAAATAATAGTGTTTTTAATTTCAAGTTCCATTTGTTTATTGCTGATATATAAAAAAGCAATTGACTTTTGGAATACAAACATTGTATTCTGCAACCTTGCTGTAAGTGCCTATAGTTCCACATGTTTTCTTATAGATTCTTCCAGATTTTCTACATAGAAAATAATGTTATCTGCAAACAGTTTTATTTATTTCTTCCTAATGCTTTTTCTTCATCTATTTGTGTGCTTTTTTCTTTTTCGATATGATGAATGACAATAATTTATTTTCTAGTAGTTAAGTAGCATTGCATACTTGGAATAAAACGTATCTGGCTGTGGTATAATTCCTTTTATACTTTGTTGGATTCATTTTGCTTACGTTTTACTGAGGATTTTTGAATCTATGTTTATGAAAGATATTAGCCTGACATTTTCTTTTCTTAAAATGTCTCTGGCTGGTTTTGATATTAATGTTGACTTCATAGAATGATTTAGGAAGTATACCATCTTTTTCTGTCTTCTTGAAGAGATTATAGAGAATTGGTACAATTTTCTTCTGAAATATTTGATGGAATTTACGAGTGAACTTATCTGAACCCAGTGCTTTCTGTTTTGGAAGTTTATTAATGTTTAATAAATTTAATTAATATTAATTTATTCAGATTATTTCTTTTTATATGAATTTTGCAGATTGTATTTTTCAAGGACTTGATCTATTTCATCTAGTTTTTCAAATTCGTGAAATTCTAAATTTCTGAAATTAGATTTGTTTATAGTATTCCTTTATTATCCCTTCTGTGCCCAGGGGATCTGTAGTGATGACTTACCTTTTATTTCTGATATTAGTGTTTTGTGTTTTCTCTCTTATCCTTTACCTCTATGGTTAGCATGGCTAAAACTTTATAAATTTTATTGATCTACTCAAGTAAATAGCTTTTGGTTTTATTGATTTTCTCTACTGATTTTCTGTTGGTTCACTGATTTCTGGTTTAATTTTTATTATTTCGTTTCTGCTGCTTACTTTTTGGATTTAATTACTCTTCTTTTTCTAATTTCCTAAGGTAGAAACTTGGAGCATTGATGTAAGATTTTTTAAAAATTTTCTTATAAAAGCATTCAATGCTATAAATTTCTAAGCACTGCTTTCACTGTGTCTCACAAATGTTGATAAGTTGCATTTTCATTTTCATTTAGTTCAAAATATTTTTTAAGAAATTCCCAGCTTTATTGACACATGCCTTAGTTTTTTTTTTTTTTTTTTAATTGTTGTTGCTATAACAGTACACCAGATACTGGGTAATTTATAATTAAAATATATGTATTTGACTCACAGTTCTGATGGTTCAGATTTCAAGATTGGGCGTCTGTACTTGGAGAGGGCCTCTTGCTGCTTCCACTCATAGCAGAAAGTAGAAAGGGTGTGGGCATATGCAAAGAGATCACAGGGCAGATAAGAGAGGAAGAGAGGGTCTAATAAGCCAAACTCACTTTTATAACAACCCACTTTCCAGTAACTTATTTAGTCCCATGAGACTGAGAACTCACGCCTAGAAGAGGGCACTAATCTAGAGGGCGCTAGTAAGGAATCTGCTTACATTATCCATCTTTTCTTGCATGTTGTCTACTTTTCAAATAAAAAGCCTTTGCCCATTACTCATAGTTTTGTTTGTTTGTTTAAATTTCTGGTTGGTTAATTCTAGCATTCCTTCCATATCTGACTCTGGTCCTGATGCTTGTTCAATCTCTTCAAACTGTGTATTATTTCTTTTAGTATGCATTGCAATTTCTTATTGAATAGTCAACATGGTGTTTTAGGGGAAGAAGGAACCAGAATAAACAAATATGTCTTTTTAAATGTAGTAGTTAGATGTGTGGAAAAGTATATTATAGTCCTATGATTTGATCTCAGCCTTCAGATGAGCTTATGTCCCTGATTGTGAATTTCACTAGTAAATATCAGAACTTTTCCCTTCTTAGATGGGGTAGAATAGCTAGAGTGAGCTAAAATTAAGTGTTTTCCTTTCCCCACATGGAAACGTGTAGCAGGCCTCTACATCTGGAATTGGCTATTTTTCTTCCCTGAAGTAGGTTAGTCTCTGAGAAAGCCACAGCAGCTTGGACTCTAATAAAATAGTTTCTCTTAAAGGGCAGGCCTCATTTAGAACAGGATGCTCCAGCATATTTCAGAATAATTTTTTCCCTCCTCCTGCTGGACACTTACGGGGATTTTTCTCTGATATTTACTGTGTGGGGGTCACCCTATGACTGAGTTCATCCCCTGATTTTTAACCCTCAGAGTTACCTACACCGAGTCTCCAAAAATCCATCAATCATAGTTTAGGATTTTCTATTCAGGCAGGTGTTCCCATGAAGGTTTCTGTTCATGGGATTCTCCTCTTATAAATTATCATTCTCTTTACTTGCCCATCTGCCTTTCTAAATTGTACAAGCAGAAGTATTCCCTGTGATCTTCTTCTCCGATGAATTTAAGAAGAGTTGCACAGTTTTTTAGTTTATTTTCTTACTTATTGTTAGTATAGTGTGACAAATTTTGTGCTTCTTACATGCAGGCCCAGAAAGTCCAGCCATGAAATTTTAAGTGAAGGGCCTCTTTGATTTCAGGATCATTTTAAAGCAATTATGCTCTATAATCTTTATATATAAAGTTACTTTTAAATTAAATCAACTTCATATATATTTAACTTTCCACAGTGAATAATTTCTTGATAAAGACCACACTCAGAGTAATAAACAGTTACCAATGGTAAAGATTAAGGCATAGTTTACGACATGCTAATTCAAGCCCTGAAGTTCTGGGACTGAAACTAAAAGGATACTTACTATTAAAAAGGAACAAGTGGATCTGGGAAAAAAATGCAGTTTGCAGAAATGAGCAAAACTGAGTGCATAGAATTCAAGCTAATGATGGTACGCATGTGATCTTCTAGATGATAAAGGGTTATAGAAAGTTGATGAACAATAATTAGCATGATCCTATGTTTCAGTGTCAGGAACAGTCCCAGTCTATAACTATCTCTTAAGCATATTTATTAATAGCAAACCTGATTTGATTTATACTTAAAATTTTAGGATTACCTTAGTAATAGTTGACACCTGTAAAATAATAACCTAGTATCATAAAAACCATTTTTATTGGAAACTGGAGAAGAAAGTAAGTGTTGATATGTTAGCGAAACTATTAATTCTCTAGGTTAATGGAGCACGTTTTGGGGTGATTTCAGTATCTTCCATCAGTTTCAATAACATCAGCTACTGCTGATGAACAAAGATGCATCGTCTATTATATTTGAGATATAGATCCAGTTTTCTAGTTGCTCCCTGGACATTTTCACTTTGATGTTTTACAGCTTCACTGATACTAAGTCCCAAAGAAGTATTTTCTTTCCCAAATTTTCCTTCATTATTACTGTCAATGTCATTATCATTCAGTACTCACTTAAACCATTAGCTTGTGGCACCTGAACTTCCCTCTGTCTCCCTTAGAACAAAAGAATCACTATGCCTTTACTCTAAAAAGTCTCAGAACTGCTTTTGTTTAGGCCCTCATTTTTTTGTCCCAAAATGTACTTTTTTTTCCACATCTTCCTAACTCTACCACCAATTGCATATATTACATAAATTTTTTAAATGGATCATATCCGACTCCTACTTGAAATCTTGAGTATTTTCCCATTGCTTTTAGCATCTTAAGCCATACTCTTGGGAATAGCATGCAAGGTCCTTCATAATATGGCCCAAACCCATTTTCATCTTGCACCTTCTCCCACTGCCCATAGCTCTGACAAAATAGACTGACGTTTTTATGTTGATGCTTCTGTCCACATGAAAATTGGTTCTGGATGTGACACTTCTTTCTCCAACTAACAAATGTTATTTCATCCACCAAATATATTCTTTATCAGGAAGAATTTCCCTAACACTGCAACCTGACTTTGTCTCTACCTTGTGCG